CACTTGCCCTCGACCTTCATGAGGACAGAGAGCTTGAGCTCCTGGTTGTTGAAAGCCTCGAAAGGCTCAAGGAGCTGCAGTCGCTCAGACTCAGGAGAAACGGACACGGTCACGTCGGGATGGGGCTGAGGAGCAGCCTCGGGGTAGAACTCGGGTCGGCCCTTGGCGAACTTCTCGGGCAGCTCGGTACCCTTGGGGGCTGGAACTTGAACTGCTTGCCGTCCTTGGTGGTGATGGAGTCGGTCATGGGGTTGAAGTGGGCATCTCCAGAGTAGATCATGGCGGTTACAATCTCGGGGGAAGTCAGGAAGTTCATGGTCTCAGCGTTACCGTCGTTTCGGGCTCGGAAGTTTCGGTTGAAAGAGGTGAAGATGGAGTTGAACTCACCAGCCTTGGTCTCGTCGGTTCGGTCCCACTGTCCAATACAGGGTCCACAGGCGTTGGCCAGAACAACAGCTCCGGCAGACTCAAAAACGTCAGTCAGACCGTCCTTCTTGATGGTGGCACGAATCTGCTCGGATCCGGGAGTGATGAAGAAGGGGATCTTGGCCTCCAGACCGTTGTCTCGGGCCTGCTCAACCAGAGAAGCAACTCGAGTCATGTCCTCGTAGGAGGAGTTAGTGCAAGATCCAATAAGACCGGCAGACACGGTATCGGGCCACTTCTCAGAGGTGACCTTGTTGGAGTACTTGGAGATGGGGGTGGCCAGATCGGGGGTGAAAGGACCGTTGATGCAGGGCTCGAGCTCGGACAGGTTGACCTCGACAACCTCGTCGTACTGGGCACCCTCGTCAGCAGCAAGGAAGCCTCGATCTCGGGCAGCAGCGGCAGCAGAGGCAATGGGAGCTCGTCCGGTAGCCTCAAGGTATCGTCGCATGGACTCGGTGAAGGGGAAAGTGGAGGTGGTAGCACCAACCTCGGCACCCATGTTACAGATGGTGGCCATACCAGTGCATGACAGAGAGTCGACACCCTCGCCGTGGTACTCGATGATGTTTCCGGTTCCTCCTCGCACGGTCAGCTTGCCAGCAAGATGGGTGATGACGTCCTTGGGAGAAGCCCAGCCAGAAAGCTTTCCGGTCAGCTTGACTCCGAGGATCTTGGGGGCCTTGAGCTCCCAGGGGGTTCCGGTCAGGGCATCGACAGCGTCAGCTCCTCCAACACCGATAGCAATGGCACCAAGACCACCAGCGTTGGGGGTGTGAGAGTCGGTTCCAAGCATCATGAGACCGGGAACGGAGAAGTTCTCCAGAACAATCTGGTGGATGATACCGGATCCGGGGCCCCAGAACTGCATACCGTACTTCTCGGCGCACTGCTGCAGGAAGTCGAACACCTCCTGGTTGGTAGCGATAGATCGGGTAAGATCATCATCGGCACCGTCTCGGCCAACAATCAGATGGTCGCAGTGGATGGAAGCAGGCACGGCGGTAGAAGGAAGACCACAGGTCATGAACTGCAGCAGAGCCATCTGAGCAGAGGCATCCTGCATGGCCACACGGTCTGGGTTGAGCTTCAGGTAAGTCTCGCCTCGAGTGATAGTAGGGGTCTCCTCGGGGTTGTGAAGATGTGAATACAGAATCTTTTCAGCCAAAGTCAAATCATTTCGGTTGATAATCTTCTTGACCTGATCAAGACGGTTGATGAGCTCGGCGTAAGGAGGAGTTCGGGTCTTGAAGTCGGCGGGGACATTGAGGCCAGAAGCGTTGGCGGTGGTAGCAAGACCACGGGCCTTGATGGCGGAGAATCGTGCCTGGCAAAATCGAGCACTTCTCAGCATTTTCGTGGTTGTGTGGGGAAAATCTTTTAGTAGATTTGGTTCTAAAAGGATGAAACTTCCTGATCTGAAATATCACGGTGACTCATACTGATAAGGTTCATGCCCACAGCACATTATCCAGCCAATCAAGGGGGAGCAGATGTCAGCTAGTTGGGCATCATATTGTAAAAAGGGCCTCTGGGGGGCTTCTTTGGGTTATTTGTGGTCACTGATAAGAGTCTTGGGCTATATTTCAGCATATTGACTCCATTTTCACGTGATTTGAACCGATGTTTATTGAAATCATTTTCCCAAAAACCTTATATGGTAAACAGACCCACCGAACGCAATGGTAGAGAATCACTGTACTGTAGGATTAGTATAGGTAATCGGGTGGGCGTAATGGTCACAATTCTGGCAGGGGTCGCTATACTGTCATCATCCTGACCTCTTCTGTCTCTATGCTGTTACTGTAGGATTGTGTGACTTTCAATATCTTCGCCGTTAGCTTTTCCGTGGAACTGCCGATACCGCTGGGTGCATAGTTCCTGGGGTAGAAATGAAGTGACGTATGTACGCTGTAATCTAGAGTTTAGGCACGACGCGTCTGGTTGGTAAAGGACATGGAGCGGTCCAGGGCAGGATGGGGTATATATAGGGCTTTTGTTATGATCAAGAACTCGTACGTGTTCTATGGGGTTGGCGTTTCGCTATATTTGCGAGTATGGGATGGTTCAGAATATTACAAGTAAAGTGAATATGGTGACTATTATGACACCATAGTTGCATGTGTATAGAGTATCGGATCTGAGAATTTTGGAAGGGGTATTTGAGAGAGAAGAAGCGAGGGCACACGTCACACCATTGTCTCACACAAACATACCACATTTCGCCCTGACCTGAACTTCACTTGTAGTGCTATATCCTCACGTACACTCGGAGTCTACCGATGTTGTGTTTAGGGTTGTTCTTTAGAGTAAAAGTACAGCTGGTTATACCACACTTGCTACATGCACACCAACACTTCACGTGACTTGCCGAACCAGCTTCCTAGCATCTACTCAACTGACGAGTGTCACTTGACACATCAGAAGCAGAAGACAAAGCGGTACTATTACTGCTATTACCGAGATTGCTCCGACTCTGGTGGCGCACTGACTTTGCTTTTTTTCCATCACGTCTCGTGAGACAAACGCGCACCTGGGGCACTTTGGGGCACATTGGCCCCAAAACACGAGACAAAAATTATAGCTGCAAAAGACCTTGTAACGTGCCCAAATTATATGGATCCCCTCATTTCCACTCCAGGCGTAGTCATCCGCCGTAAACCGCTCCTTATTTACACGATGATACTTAACTACAGTCTCGATTCTGAAGTGCCATCATCTTGCAGATTCAAAAGCTTAATGCATCACAGGCCAACATCACACTTAACTTGCCACCGTTAAGGAAGCCGTCACTAAAAGCTCCCACAACAACTAGAAATGGTGTCTGAAGAAGAAAAAACCGAACGAATTGCCCAATTCGTGGGAATCACGCAGTCCTCCCCCGAGGATGCCCAGGATTGCTTGCTCCACACCGACTGGGACGTGGCACAGGCTGTCGATCTGTTTCTGTCAGCCAACGACCCTGAGGAGAACGAAGAGGATGCTGAAAACGACGATGCCGAGGACATTGATGTCGAGGAAGACTCGGACGCATACGCCAACCCCTCCGGTCTGGCGCCCAGTGGAATTGCTGCTGGAATCCAGGGATTCCTTAGTGGTCTTGCTGGCAGAGACGATCCTGCTGCTGCTTCAGAGCCCCAGGGAATCCTTAGCAACCCCCAGCCCTCTGGATATAGACTGGGAGATGGAACCGGGTCGTCTACTCCTGTCAGTGGAGGCAGCAGTAGCGCCACCCCAGCTCCTGTTTCAGCTCCAGCTCCAGCCCCCGCTCCTAGAAGAGGAGTTGCTGGTGTCAGAACTCTGGGAGACCTGTCACGAGACAATGCACCTCCCAAGCGGCAGGACCTGTTCACTGGAGGAGAGAAATCGGCTCTGGCTGTCCAGAACCCCAACAGACCTGGCCAGCAGGGCAACCAGGGAGGCAACCCTCTGGTGAATGACATTATTCGACGAGCTGAGGCCAATCCAGCAAGACCCCGAGGCGAGAACGACGAGGAGTCTGAGGATGAGGAGCAGGTGGGAAGCTTCCACGGAACTGGATTCACTCTGGGTTCTGACGAAGTCCAAAGCCGCCCCGTGGGTTCAAACCTTCCTACCTCTCTCCCCAAGGTGTCTCGATCCATCACATTCTGGCAGAACGGTTTCACCGTCGAGGATGGACCTCTCTACCGATACGATGACCCCCGAAACCAGCGGTACCTCGAGACCCTGAACCAGGGACGAGCCCCTCTGGCTCTCTTGGACGTCCAACACAACCAGGCCGTTGATATCAACGTGACTGACCGAAGTGAAGAGGCTTACGTGGAGAAAAAGCCCATCTATGGAGGTTCTGGCAACCGTCTCGGATCCCCCGTTCCCGGAGAGCCCATCGCTACCTCATCCGCAACTCCTCCCGCCGCCACCCCCACTCCTTCAGCTGCCCCCGCTGGCCCCTCCAACTCATCATCCGGAGCCGGAGGAAGCAGAATTCAGATTCGACTTGGTGACGGAACCCGTCTCACCCCCTCGTTCTCCCCTGACCTCACTGTCCAGGCTCTCTATGATTTTGTTGATGAGCACAACCCAACGGGACGGGCATATGTCCTACAAACCACATTCCCCAACAAGGAGCTTAGAGACAAGAGTGCCACCCTGAAGGATGCTCAGGTCATTGGCGCTGCCCTTGTTCAGCGGTACGAGTAGCCTTAATGCAGAGTAATGATAATGACACGAAGAATGTACATTCTGGTAGTAATACAGTAGTGCACCATTGCGTAATGAAGAGAAGTAGAGCAGCTGAAACAATGCCATCAACCACCAGCAGTAAGATAAAGGACTACTAGCGTGCCCATTCACGAATGATGTACAGTTTGGGATTCTTGAGAAACACCATAATTCAAACGATGAGACCAGCTGAAAGCAGGAAGTTCATTTTTGCTAAATAGAGCAATACAATGCATCTAAATAAGGCCTATAACAATGTTAAACCGTTTTTCGGGATCGGATTGAGCTCGTTTGGCGAAGAAAATCGCAAAAATTTTTTTTCGCGAAATTTTGATACTGGCAAACAGGGTCTTTTTCTAAGAAAATTCCCGGCGGATTTAGCTCAGTTGGGAGAGCGCCAGACTGAAGTCATTCTTCGGTCAGAGTAATCTGGAGGTCCTGTGTTCGATCCACAGAATTCGCAATTTTTTGCTTGATAGTCCTTGTTCTACTCGTCAATACCTCCATTCACTTACGTATATTCGGGGTAGCGGCACTTTTCTTTCCAGCGACAGATCGTGTACAACTGACGTAGGCAAACGGGCGCAAAGCATCCGGGGGCCTATTTGTGACCAACAGTCGCTGCCGCTTAGGTTAAATAGACTGATTAATAAATGATTTACAACAACAACAACAACAACTCGTCAAACATCATTTTTTTTTGGCCAATATATATTATCAAGATGGGAGGTACTCCACGACGTTACTTGTAGTCTCCTACCGCGTCTATTCAACTCCCCTAGCTTCAATGAGTCTTCTTCGTATTTTAAACCAGTTGTTTCTTGCCTTCTTCGTTTTTGCTGTAGACTTCGCACAACATGAACGGATCTTGAAAGGAAATAGACCTGAACTATCTCTAGCTCTCACTTGTATATCGGTCTTTGTTTGCCTCTGTAGGGCTCTCAGCTCGACAACCATGCGGTTAACGATCATAGTTGCACTGGACCATGTTACAATGAAGAGCAACATTTTCTCAAGTTATAATACAGACAACTAGGTAGCTGGAGAACTTCGCACTCGCTCATATACAGTGTCAGTGAAGTCAACGAGCTACAAGTAATAGCTTTGACATCTCGTACGTAAAGGCTCGTTTGAATCAGATGGTGAAAGGCTTGTTCTGAGAAGTAAAGTGTGAAAGACATTGTCACTCACAAATAATGAGCGAGTGGAAGTGTAGCTGATGTATGGAATTCTAGGGGCGGTTTAAGTTGGTGTATCTAGGTGCTTTTATCGCCACTCATACCTGTAAAACGGCCTTCTGGAAATTATCATAAAATCTTGAGGGAACCAAACAAGCGGAATAAACGGGAACATAAATAGATACTAATAGTTTCAATATATCTGAAAAGATTAGTCTTCTTAGCAGCTGTGCTATCGGATAAAAAGACTCCTCCAGCAAGAGCTTGATCATCGAACTGCTGTGACATTCTTAGACTGACAAGAACAGATAGTACTACAAATGGTACTCTTTAGAAAGGGATGTTCCACAACAACGGCAGATTATCAACACCAAAACTATTACATTTAATAATAGGTCATCTTTTATTCCACAACTTCTCTAAACCCCTGGTTTTGGAAATGAGGATAATGAACACCGAAAATCTTCTAACAAAAGGAGGATTGACACCATTAGATACCTCTCCATCTTTTCTCCAGAATTGGTAACCTCTATTTCAGACTCTGTTGTTATTGAACAACTACAGTAGATTTTTCTCCATAGGGGAGTGTGACAGTTAGTAAAATCACACCAAGAGGGGACGTATTTTACCCAGAGAGGTGTTAATATGTGTTCAGGTAATAATACACTGCTGTTTCCAGTTGGTCAACTTTACGACTTTCCTTTTTACTTCTCCTATGGAGCTTGACAGCTCACACCCACTCAGTGCTTTTCAGAAAGATGAACCCTAGGAACAACAAAACGACTCCAAAGAAAGAAGCAATTGAACTGTAGACATAAAACATAGACTTCTCTCCAGTGGTAGTCTCATTTCTCTTCCCCGGGTAACTATCTGATGTATTCTAGCAACATAACTCTTCAGAAATACATCTTAGAAAAAACCAACAGCATAGGTGTCAGACGGGCCCAATTTATCAAAATTAACACCGATTCAGTAACTGTCTGATGAGTAGGGAAGCCAAACATATCTAGTTTTCCCTATATAAGTAGTTTAACTCGAGAGATATTGCAAAACTGGGGTTTCCTGAAAGTGATTTCTGCCACTGGGGGTTTAAATGGGGAATATTAGTGAACGGGACTTGTTATACTGGACAATATGACAGAGGAGACTTGCCACACATCCCCACATGTTATCTATGGCCAATATTGCAGCCTGGGGGTTTCGTTCTGCAGTTCCAGAATCCCCCGAAGTGATCGAATACTCTGCAGAAGTAGAGAGACTCGTTGTCTGTTGGTACAGGGAGACACATGGAGGCGTTACTATCCAATGAATCACTCTGATTGTCCATTAGTTTCCTCAAAGCAAGAGTAGCGGAGTTGATTTCTGCATAGATGAAAGACACCAATCTAACTGTTACAATTCTGAGTGGAGGAGGAATACAGAGCTAGAAAAACGAACCCATCGAACAAGCTATTCATATTACAGAATACCATTCATAAAAAAGACAAAAGAACAATCTATCAATCCCCGAGGACTCCGTAGGAGCGATATTCGTGGGTCGTGATTTAAAGTATTAATCGATCGTATTCGGCTGTCATACCAAACCTTAAAATACACACAAATAGTTATTTCGACGGGAAAAAAGGCCAAGAGAGCTATCGAAAGAAAGATATCAGATACCAAACCATGCAAACTACAATTTTAAATCCAGTTCCTTCCTTATATCAAGTTTCCTGCCCCAGAACACAGCATTTTACATATACAAGTTAAGGTTTGATTATTATGACTTTTCGATTTTCGGCGGGGTCACGTGATACAAATAAATAATAGCATATCCCTAAAATAGGCTCAAAATTGAATTCTTCCGATATAGTGTAGGGGTTATCACTTCCGCCTTTCACGCGGAGAACCCGGGTTCGATTCCCGGTATCGGAGTACTCTTTTTTTGCTTCCTCTGATTACTTCAGTGAGCAGCGGTCTGTACAGAGGTGTCCTGGTTTGATATTACCCCACAATGAAGACTAAGGTGGTGAGCCGATTTAGTTCCTCATGCCCCTCCATGGCTTTGTTATTGACTTTGATTAAATTATCCCCATGTGTAAATACACAGGAACAGGGTCTAGTTTAGCCTGTACTTTATTATGGTCAACTGACAGGCTGCCGAACTGCAATTTCAATTTAAGCGAATGACAAGAACCTCATTGACAAGAAGCTCGTTGACATATCAAGTCGTACATTGAAGAGACAGTTGCACTCTCAGTAATCACCTGCTGGCTGCAATGCCTCCATACACTGACTTCGTAGTTATGAAACTGAAGAGCTTAGGCTATTTATATATCGATCTAAAATGCGGAGCAGTGGCCCCACACCCGGGCTAAAATTGCTGCTTAGGGTGCTTCAAAAGCCACAAGGAGTAACTGATAGTGGTCCGGGCTGCTACTAAGAGCTAGCTTATTATGACGTAATGAGGATACTGATAATCACAAAGGAGAACCCTCGCTAAGAACAAGCACAGCAGCCATTCGGGGACTGAACCCCTGTCACAGGCGAAATACGAAGGTCGTTATTAAATAAACAAGAGATAATGTGACTCTCAAAGAGTTAAAGAAGCACACAGCTTGTACAGTGTTGTGCTGCGTATACTGGCGTACAGTTAGGACAGAAACTTGACCAAAGAGATGCGGGGTGCAAACGTTGTGATTGTCTGTTCTATAGCTCAGTATTATAATACTCTGGTTAGGTACGAAGCCATAGACCCCACCTTCTGGCCGATACACAGAGCTTCTACGTTATAAATAGACGTTGGGTTTCCCCTTCTCTGTAGACAGCCACTGGCTTCGCTCCAATCAACTTCGCTTCTAATGCTCAAGCTCAAATACATTGACCTGGGGATATGCAGATGATTCTTTAGCTCTTCGTTTCGCACTGAGCAACAGGGTGCAGTACGATCTTTCAGAGATTGGTTCTGGAGAACAGAGTCGTTTGGTGGTAAAGCTTTTACTATGGAGAGGATCACGAAGTCTTAAAGAAAGACCCTTGAGGATCTATTGTTTCAGCCGCAGGTAGAAGTCTAAGCACGAGCACGATTGGTAATTTCAAGGCACCGTTTATAGGTGAGTCAGGCGGGGTATATTTGAAACACCTCAGAGAAAGGCTGGCGAGAAACATCTAAAAGCCCACTTTTACTCTTCACCAAATATCGTACCAGGTATCGTAAATACTGCCATGTAAGCTACTTGTGCATGCAGGTTGCCCCCTGATGGCTGCCTTATGGATTGACAGGATACGCTACCCAACATGTGATTCCCAGCTGGTTCATGCACATATCAGCATGTCTCAGTCGTAAGGGTGTCAGGGCAATAGCCACGAGACAGGAGAAAATTTACCCGGATTTTCTACCGCACTGTACCTTAATATGTTGACTAAATATATAGCGAGCAAAGGAATACGCATGGACTAAATTTAGAGGCATGATCTAGTCGTATTCAGGCACCCTTTTCTGTCGGAGCCGGCACGGACATGACATGACATATAGTGGTACGAGAGCACTTCCTACGAGAGCACATCAACCTGGTAGCGATACCTCGTGATATTGCGTGATGGAATTCTCAGGAGGCGTCACATACGCAGATACAGCCTATAAAAATCTGTTTAGCAAGCCGCCAAAAACATGCATGCTTCAAGTCTTTGTACGATGCATGCAAAATTAAGACACCATACCATTTCTCGTGGTGGAGAGGAACGGAGGAAGAGGGGGTTTACTATAGTTGGCCAAGCGAGTGAAGCAACTGGGGATACGTGCAGAAATGCAGGAACACAGGGCGTATGAGAAATATCTCTCATGTAATCATGTAGCCATGAGTGCACGGCGCCTTGGCTCCCAGACTACCAGCTTCAGGCCGCACACCAACCAGTGGCAAAATTCTCGTCTGATACCTGCTCCACTTTTCCGACCGGAATGCATTAAGTTCGTTTGGGCTGCTGTGGGCAATGAGTGTACACTTCCGCGATGGGGAGTCAAGCGGCATTTAAAGCGGGCAAAAGGATTGGCAGCGACGATCCCTACCGGGAAGCCAACGCAGTCGATCGAAAACTCCCCAGTTCAACGTCCAACAGTTTTGCAGCAACTCACCGTGACGTATGGCCCGATTATCTGGTTCAACCCCTTACCATATCCGCTTGCACATGTATCAGTAGTTGGGCAGCAGGAACAAAGAAGCTATTGATTCGCATTGGGAAAATATAATCAAAGTGAACGCGCAAATAAGCTTTTGTATGCTTCGTACAGGTACCAACTCTGCATACT